CTGGTGGCTCAGTAGGTGAAGAATCTGCCTTTAGTGCATTAGACACAGGAGACACGGGTTTGATCCCTGGGTCAGGAGGATCCCCTGGAGGAGAGCATGGCAACCCACTCCAGTATTCTTGCCTGGAGAATCCTGTGGACAGAGGAGGCTGATGGGTTACAGTCTATGGGGTTGCGAAGAGTCAGCCATGAATGAAGCGACTGAGCATGCACAAACTCACCTTATCAAGTGTTGACATAGGAATGTCCTACTCAGACTCACAGGCGGCTCTGCACCCATCCTGGATCCTCTACGCGCACACATGCGGGGCCACTTATCCACCAGCTAGCATTGCTGGTGGCCCCGTCCTGTGCTTTAGTGGCACTGTGAGAGACCCCAGGTGAAACCAAAACACCCAAGGTTAATTAGATGCCAGGTGCAGTACCGCATACAGGAGATAAGTAATTTGACCTCGCATCATCCCTCCAGGTAAGCATCACCACCCTCATTTTACATGTGAGACTCAGAATTGTCAAGTCTTTTGTCCCAAGCCAGCTAGTCTTTCAGGGGTGCATCTGGGTAATTGTGACCTGGCTGTCAAAACCCAAACTCCTCTGGATTTTCCTAACACCCTCAGGAACCATGGACCCAGTAAACTCTGGTTGAGGGGAAGAGTGTGGTGGACAAAAGATAAGGATTCATGAAGGAATTAATACAAAAGCAACTGTTATCCAAACAGAAGAAGAGTCATTCTCTAAGTCTGGTTCTCTTTTGTAAATAAATTCATTTGTATCATTTCCTTTTTAGATTTTGCATGTAAGGGATGTCATACAATATTTCACTTTCTCTGTCTGGTTCACTTTACTCAATATGACAATCTCTAGATCCATCCATATTGCTTCAGATGACATTATTTCATCATTTGTAATGGTTGAGTAATATTCCATGGTGTATATGTACCACAACTTATGGATACCAGGTGGGAAGGGCAGGGGGAAGGTATAGTTAGGGAGTTGCATGTATGCACTGCTAGGTTTAAAATGGATAACCAGCAAGGACCTGCTGTGTAGCACACGGAACTCTGTTCAATGTTATGTTGCAGCCTGGATGGGAGTGGAGTTTGGAGGGTAATGGATACATGTGTATGTATGACCGAGTCCCTTCACTGTGCCCCTGAAGCTATCACAACATTGTTAAGTGGTTATGCCCCAATATAAAACAAGAAGCTTAAATTTTAAATTAATTCATTAATTTAAAAAGAAGAGAATTTAATGTGAGAGATTCTTTTGACCATGGAATGTAGGATATAGATAACAGGAAAGAGGGAGAGATGGGTTGGAACTTGTGGGTAGCTGGGCTCAGACCCAGAAAGAATTTTCCTTGTCCACCCAGTTATGTCTGTATCACACTTCGTTCTTAGCATCCCAAGCCCCTTTTGCTTTTCTAGGTCCCCCACTGAGCTCCTCTGTCTCTTTCACCCAGGCATTTAGTCATACAATCCTTTTGACCTTGGCTCCTCTTCCTGACGTTAGATTTACTCTTCCTCCCTCCCCTACTCTTCCCTTTCGACTTCCATTCTTTCTTCCTTCCTGCTTCCTTCCTTTCCTCTCCCCCCCTCCTTTTCACTTTTGCTCTAGCAAATCCAACTCATCTTAGAGTTTAGCATCACAGCCTGACTTTAGCATCACTCCTCCTCCCAAGGAAAGTCATTCCTGAATCCAGACTATAGTATATTTGCTTCTAGTGCACCAACGTCTTTCTTTGTTTCTGTCTCAGAGGGGCATCACCCTGATCATTATTTTGTGTTCAATGTGTCTGTAATCCATGTATTTTAAGCTCCATAAGGGTAGGAACAAGATTTTTCTTTTTCACCTCTGTATCCCATACCTAGCCAGTGACAGCAGGTAGGGGAGGTCAAGAAGTGTTGCTACCTGAATGGATGTTTGATCAGGTCATTGCATTGCATTCATCACAAGTTGTAGTTTTATAGATATTTGTGAAGCCCACTCATTTATTTTCTCTTCCTCTGATCTGAAAGTTCCAGGAGGACAAGGTTAGCTTGTCTTTCACCAAACTGTATTTTCAGCACCTAATGGAGTGTTTGGCACATAGTAAATATTCAATAGATAATGAATGGATGGATGAGCTAATGAATGAATAAATGAAATCGCTGAAAAGCTATAAATATCACCTCTAGTATTAGCCATATTTTCACTGTACCAAACTGTTTTCTATTGTTTGATATGAAGCAGGGAGTTTCATAACATCAGACATGAGTTCCCATTGCAGTCCATCCACTAACTAGATGCAAATATAGGCACTCAATTATTTGTCGATGAATGCCACAATGATCTCCTTTCTGTTTCTACCCTTTGTGTGATCTTCTCCCACACTCCTTTGGATTTGGCCAAGCATTTAGCTTTGGCTAATGAAGCCATAGTAAACAGGATGCAAGCAGCATCTCAGAAAAGGCTTGATTACTGAGACTTTCCCTTTCTTGCTGCACTTGGAGCCCAGGGCCCATCGGGGGTGGATGAGTCCTAGCTAGCCTGCTGGATGATGAGAAGCCTTGGCAAGGAGAACTCAGGCACCTGGATGACCTCCTGACAACTGACAAAAACACAAATGGGACAATCCTACATCACCCAACTGCCTGCCAACCCACCAGCAGACACCTCATGGCCAGGTTGTCCTAGCTGTGTCCACCTCCCCAAATCTGTATATTAAAGTCCTAACCTCCAGCGTCTCAGAATATAACCTTACCTGGAAAAAAGTCTTTAAAGAAGTGCTGTTGTTCAGTTACTAAGTCTTGTCCAATTCTTTGTGACCCCATGGACTACAGCACTCCAGTCTTCCCTGTCCTTCATCCTCTTCCAGAGTTTGCTTAAACTCATGTCCACTGAGTCAATAATGCCATTCAACCATCTCATCCTCTAATGTCCCCTTCTCCTCCTGCCTTCAATCTTTCCCAGCATCAGGGTCTTTTCCAATGAGTAGGCTCTTAAAATGAGGTCATTAGGACAGGACCTAATTCGACGTGACTGGTGTGCTTAAAAAAAAAAAGGAAATATGTGAACATGGACCAGAAAGAGTGCTGTATAAATATGATGACCACCATTTATCCTTACCTCGTGTCCCTCAGAAGAAACCAACTCTGCCAACTCCTGATTCAGACTTCTAGCCTCCAAAACTGGGAGACAACACATTTCCATTGTTTTAGCACCCACTTTGTGGGACTTTATTATCACAGCCCCAGGAAATCACAGCCCCTGTGTTCACAGGTCCAGGCCAAACTACCGACAAAGTGACCCACACAACAGCAAACTAAATGAAATGGTTATTGCTTTGAGCCCCTAATGTAGCAGAAGCTAACTGATACGGTGGATAGATTATGGAATCTCTCCAGGCTTCAGTTTTCACAGTTACAAAGGGGTTTAAACATATTTTCCTCACCTGATTATCAGAAAGATTTAATAGGATAATGCCTGCAAATTGCTCAGGACAGTGCCTGGCATATGAGTAACAACCAGTGCTTGGGCTTCCCAGGTGATGCTAGTGGTAATGAGTCGGCCTGCCAATGCCAAAGATGCAAAGGCGTGGGTTCGATCCCTGGGTCGGGAAGGTCACCTGGAGTAAGAAATGGCACCTTGCACCTATAATCTTGCCTGGAGAATCCCCTGGGCAGAGGAGCCTGGTGGGCTACAATCCATGGGCCCTCAAAGAGTTGGACATGACTGAGCACCATTCATTAATACTTACCTTCGCATCACCTCTGGAGTGTATGGTAAGTCAAAATCAGAGCTGTGTATCTCTGAAAATATAAACTTCTATACCTTTGAGTATATTTTAAATAATGATGGAATTCAACATCATTTTATATAAAACAGCAATTTATATAAAACTAGAGTACCGAGTGGTGAGCACCAAGAGAAGAGCAGGCACTTTACACGGACTTGCTGTCCATTTAAATGAACTAGGATTAAGGCAGAACAAAATTAAAATATACTGAGCAACTAATACGTTCCCCAAACTTTTCCCCACGTATTTATTGAACAAATGAGCATCATTCCATTCATTTCTTGGAATATCTCTAAAATATAAACATTACTATTTCTCAATCATAGACAGGGAAACTGGTTGAGAAATAAACTGCAACTTGTCCAAGATCACATAACTAAATATTTAGTACAGCAAGAAAAAGACCAGATTCCACATCCTCTACATCATCCCTGAAGGATTTGGTCCATATGCCTTGCAGTGGGAAGAGTGGATGTCTCAGGAAGCCATCAGCAACATCACGTCACAAGATAACTCAGTGTTCCTGAGCTGTGTTCTTAGTCATTCAGTCGTGTCTGACTCTTTGTGACCTCATGGACTGACGCCAGCCAGGCCCCTCTGTCCCTGGGGATTCTCCAGGCAAGACTACTGGAGTGGGTGGCCATGCCCTCCTCCAGGGCATCTTGCCAACCCAGGGATAAAACCCACATCTCCACATTACAGGCAGATTCTTTTCCATCTGAGCCAGCAGCGAAGCCCAAGAATACTGCAGTGGGTAGCCTGTCCCTTCTCCAAGGGATCTTCCTGACCCAAGAATCGAACTGGGGTCTCCTGCACTGCAGGCAGATTCTCTACCAGCTGAGCTACTAGGGATGCCCAATCAGTGTTCCATGTGCATATAAACCCATATGCTTCCATGTTACTCAGCAGTGTTTCCAGATGTTCTGGTAATTTCAAAGTGCCACATGAGGACCTCATGTGTCTTTAAGGACACCCTTCGGGTTTGGAGACCTCAGCCTCCTATAGCTTCATTTATTGCACTGAACTCAAGAAGAGGAAGTCCCAGCCCTAGACAGGTCACACCACCCAAGCTCTGTGGCTGCATTTCACAGGAAACCAAACCTAAACGGACCTAGGAGGAGGGTTCTGCTAAAGGACACTGCTGAACATTGAGAACATTTCAACCCCCTGCCTCCTGGATTACCGGTTCCTGGAGTTCTCCGTGATGCCCTCACGGACCCCTCATGCAAGGGACATCTCAGCACAAGGCTGTTGGCGCTCCCGACACTGTTCAGGTAAACCCTGTAGGCCAGCCTCATCTGAGTGGTCATCTCACTGTCATAGACGACCATTAAGAGAGAGCTGACAGCAAGAATAAAAGGTTTTTTTTCTAACATGAATGCTGGGCCATCTATAAAGCATCAAAAGGGAGGAAAGAAACCAGCTCCCTTGATCAGTTTTTAAAGATCCCTTTCTTCTGCTGGAAGAAGGAATCGAGATACTGACCCACAAAAATTTAAAGACGAAATGTTTTCAATCTTCTCCTGACTGTTGGCAACTCAGATTTAAGTTCAGGAGGGTCACCAGCTTTCTTGACTGATGTTAATCGCAACAGCCACCTGGAAAGGCAGCCTCCATTCAAAGTAGGCCATTAAAAGTAAAAGTTAACTCCTGGAGCCTCTGTGAGTGGATATTTCTTAAATGCTCTAAATTGAAGTGGTTTTCTTTCCATGTTGGGCTTGAGGAGTGTGGACTTCACAATCATGCTCATCCTCTTCCCTCTCCAGGGGTAAGGGGCTCAAGACGGAGGGTGAAGTTGGAGCAAAATGCCCACCCTCGAGGGGTGCCAGGAGGTATCTCTTCTAGATGTCCCTTCTTCTTAGAGATAAACAAATGATAGAGTTAGAATGAGACAGAAAAGAGAATGTGTCATCAAAGTGTCTATACTTTAAAGGATACTGATGTAGCTGGACTTCATCAGTACTGATTTTACTAGGATGTACCCATGTTACTTATCTAATTATCTCTCTTTATTGTGGTGTGTGTGCATGCTAAGTTGTTTCAGTCATGACCGACTCTTTGCAACCCTATGGGCCATAGCCCACTGGGCTCTTCTGTCCATGGGATTCTCCGGGTAAGAATACTGGACTGGGTTTCCATGCCCTCCTCCAGGGGATCTTTCCCACCCAGGCATCAAATTGTCATCTCTTACATCTCTCCTGCATTGGCAGGTGGGTTCTTTATCAATGAAGAAAGAGGGGCTGGAAAGTCCCTCTACTGTGGCATGGCTTCTCAATGCTGTTCCTTTGGATCCCTAAGGACCACCCAGACCACAGGGAACAGTTATGTCAAAAATCAGAAACTCAGTTGTAAGTTAGAAACAGTTATCTCAAAAACTGAGAAGTCAGTTATAGGTTAGGCTAACTGGAGGTGAGCAGAGAAAGAACAAATTTCAGAATTATCCAAGAAACTTAAGATAAAATATGCCCTAGAGAAGCAAGAAGGCTAAATGGGGTTTATTTAATTCTTACCAACCAGTCTATGGCAATTCACTCCAGTTTTCTTACCTGGAGAATCTCCTGGACAGAGGAGTCTGGTGGGCTGCAGTGCACGGGGTCGTAAAGAGTAGGACATGACTTAGCGACTAAATGAACCTGTCTATATGCATTAACTTACTTAATCCTTACACCCAAACTTGAGAGTTAGATATTGTTTTGCCTGGTTTACAGATGAAGAACTTGAGTGGCCGAGTTTTTCCACCTGATTCTGGCTGATACAAAAGGTGGCCACTGTTTCTTTGCAGCTTCATAGAGCTCACCTTGAATCCTTTCTTGAGTGGTTTTTGACACCAGCCCTCATTTTAATTAATTTATTTATTATTATTATTTTTGTCTCTACTGGGCTTTTGTCGCTGTGCACAGGCTTTCTCTAGTTGCAGCAAGTGTGGCTGCTCTTCACTGCAGTGTGCAGGCTTCTCATCACGGGGACTTCTCTTCTTGTGGAGCACAACCTTAGTGGGACTGCAGGCTCAGTAGTTGTGGCATACAGGCCTAGATGCTCCATGGCATGCGGAATCTTCCCAGACCAAGGACCAAACTCGTGTCCTTGGCATTGACAGGTAGATTCTTAATCACCTGGGAAGTCCTTAGCCTAACCCTCTTAATGGTGATGTTTCTTTTCTTTTCTCCAAGGAGCTCTTTCATAGGATTTTATGAACAACTCCATTCTAAAACCAAAGATTATGGTTTTCTGTACCACCTGGCCAACCCTGGCTTAATGCCCAGGAACCTGTCCCTAGCTCACTTTGCCATAAGTCAAGTGCTCTCTTGAAAAGACTGTAGGATTTTACATCTGATTAAGTTGATCAGGATCCAAATTCCACAGCTTGACCAGATATGCTACTTTATTCCCTCCAGTCCTACATCTTTATAGTGGAACAAGAGCACATCACTTGTACTGACGATTCTTTTTAGCCTCAGTAATATATTTATATTAAATAACATATGAGATATATTTAATATCAGGTTGGCCAAAAAGTTCACTTGAGTGTTTCTGTAAGATGTAACTGAAAAATCCAAACATTTTGTCTAACAATACTTAGTATGTGCTCAATAAATGTTGTTTTTTGTTTGTTTGTTTTGTTTTTTCTCTGATTGGAAAAGACTCGGATGCTGGAAAAATTGAGGTCAGGAGAAGGAGATGACCAAGGATAAGATGGTTGGATGGGATCATTGACTCAATGCACATGAGTTTGAGCAAACTCTGGGAGATAGTGAAGAAAAGGGAAGCCTGGCATGTTGTAGTTCATGGGGTTGCAAAGAGTCAGACACGACTGAACAACTAAGCAAGAACAACTAAGTATGTGTTCAATAAATGTTGCTTTTTTCTCCATTACTTTCCTTTCCTCACCCCACATCAGTTCTGGCCTTATGCTTAAAACATGCTTACAACCAGCATGAAATTTATTAATATAGAAAGTTTTATTAATATTTTATTTTAATAATCTCATTAGAGAATAGTAATATACCACAGTTGCATAGCCTCATAGAATCAACAGATTCCTTGGGCACTTTTTTTTTAATTTAATGATCTTAACAACTTAATGAAGTAGGCAGGGCAACGTTAGAGGTTGAAACTGAGGCTCGAAAAGTTGATGAGGATGGACAGTATGGTGATATGGAAAAGAGGCTTTGAGATCAGTCACAACTAATATGAATGTGGGGTGTAATTTAAATATGTGTTTGGGGGTAAGTGACTTAATCTCTCTGAGTTTTGGTTAGCTGTTGTTTGTATTATGTAGTTTGAAACAGTGTGGGTTAGTATACACTAGAGGTTGCTATGAGGATGAAAGTGAATGTATATATTGTGTCTGACACAGAGGAGACATTCAGAAAACAGATAAATGGCAACTGTATAGTGTTGCTGCCACATCACAACAGGTAGCTGAGCTAGTCCTGGAAGTATCATTTTACAAATGCCATCACACCAAGCAGTTAGGTTCACCCTGGTAGGCAAAAGCCAAGGTCCACCAAGATTTGAGTTCTGGACAGTTGCTCCAAGCTGTGCCTACCCTTCCTAGCATGAGAAAAATGTTCAAAGGAGTTAAATTATCGAATAGAGATAAGTGGTTAAATCTAAGTCAGATTTAATATTTTTAACAGATTGAACAAAACTTTCAGCAATTTGGGGAAGTAACTTACCAATAACACTGAGAAACATCAGATTATATAGGTTATATAGGAGTGGCTTGATATCATGAAAACCAGAATTATGAGAAACAGTAATCATAGAAATTTTGCTATTTTCGTTACTTCTATAGACAGAATATTTTGGGAATCATCACCACATTTATTCAAAATTAAGGTTAATCAGTTTAATTTTAATCATGTTCTCCAAATACCAATGAACAGAAAAATTGCCATTTGAATGCCTGCTGTGTGCTGGGCAATGAATACTTACTGTTTTCCACTGTTTTAGTAGATAAATTAGCTCTCACTCTGTAAAAGAGGATACCAAGGTTCAGAGAGGCTCCATACATTGTCCATTTCACAGCAGAAAGAGGAGCCAGGTCTATTGAAATCCCAAGTTCCTGCTCTTTGCACTGCACGCCATGAGGGCACTGCTGAAAGTGTTCAGGGTCGTGATCATAACATCACTTTCCTTCCAACTGACCAGGAGCACTTTAGGACTCCCAGATATGCCATTAGCAATAAAAATACGTGTGTGAATTTGTATTTTTCTACTTCACTGGTGATGCTCACTGAAAGATTGCCTCCCAAACATCTAAGCCTGGGAATTAGAATCCCACCAGTTTAAATGGCTCTGTGCATAGCTATTTGCCCTATGAAATAAGATGAGCCAAAAGACCTGGACGTAACATGAAAATTCAGTAGCCATGTGTTTGAGGGCATAGCCCTTATTGTGATGTCTTCTCTGTTGAATTTAGCATGAGGTAAAAATGAAGGTGGCCAGTGGTCAAGCCCAATACCTGAGAGAACTGAGCCTTTGCGGGGCACCCAAAGACCCACACTGCATCAAATCAGCAGATTCAGAAGACTAATTTTATGCAAGGCACCCTGAGTTAACAGGATTTCAGGGCATTTGTCTCACTCTGGTATTCTGGCCCATACATTCATCTTCTGTGACTTTGTTCAAGTGTGAAGGGTGTATTCAAGTTGTAAGTTCCCTCCCAGTAGGTAAATCTATATGAGTTCTCAAATAGCTGTCAGGAGCTAGCTTGATGAGCACAGAGTCAGAGCTGTGTCATTACAATAGCTGGATTTGCCCAACTACTGATGATCTAATGACTTGATAGGCACCTGGGAGCCAGTCTGTGCCCTCCCCCCCACCCCAGGGCTACTTAGGAATATTCGTAGAATTGGGCAACTCTAGGGACGAGCTGGGCAAGTCTAGGGATCTGCTAGCCAGCTCCATCTCTCTCTGGTCCCCTCCCAGAGAACACCTTCACACTCTGCCCATCCCAGACTCCTATGTCTGTTCCCAAGTTCTCCCTACTAAGCCACCCCATCCATCTTTTGAGAAATAGATAGGCTAGGTTTGAATTCAAACCTTCCCTTCCTAGCAGGATGATTTTAGACATTATTTAACTTCTTAGAAACTTAGGCTACTATTTACAAATTGGAATTGGCAATACCTAACTTCTGAATGTGTGGTGAGAAATGAGATGCGGTATGTAAAATTTACATATTACAGTGTCTAACAAGTATGAAGTGCAATATAAATGAGAGTGGCTATATTATCATTTTATATTCAGACAAACCATCATTAGAATCTT